TAGAAACGCCGAGCCATCTACCTGTGCCAAAGCGCAGGCTTCAGAGCTAGACACACACGCATGAAACCCTGCTCTGCCACTTACCGGCCTTGGAGAGTCCACTCATTCATTCTTTTATTTTTCATTTTTCATTGTTATTTTCATTATTTACCCATGTAGCCACTGACCACATAGATAGCGAACTAAATCCATTGAACAAAATGCTCCCGATGACCTACTTTGCATCTGGCACAGTGTTAGAGGGTGCAGATACAGAAATGAACGAGACTGAGAAAGTCCCTGCCCTCGGGAAGGTTATGTTTTTATGGGGAGATGGACGATGGGCATTTTAAAAGCTTCCCAGAGGGTCAACAAGCACTGTTCAAAAGTCAGAACCCGGAAGTCATCCCACAGACAATTAGCGAACAATTGTGATCCAAATAGCTGATAGGTTTTGGGTTCTACCTGACAAAAGTAAGGAAGAAACAGACTGAAAAAAGTAAGAGGATGTCGGGGACGCTGGTGGCTCTGTTGCTTAAGCATCCGACTCTTGATTTCCGCTCAGGTCATGATCTCACGGTTTGTGAGTTTGAGCTCCCCATTGGGCTCTCAGCTCTCAGCATAAAGCCTACTTCAGATCCTCTGTCTTCCTCTCTCTCTGCCTCTCCCCAACTCACTCACACTCTCTCTCAAAAATAAATAAACATTTAAAAAATTTAAAAAAGTGTCGCCTGAGTGGCTCAGTTGGTTAAGCGTCCGGCTTCGGTTTCGGTCACGATCTCGTGGTTTGTGAGTTTGGGCCCCATGTCTGGCTCTGTGCTGACAGCTCAGAGCCTGGAGCCTTCTTTGGATTCTGTATCTCCCTCTCTCTCTGTCTCTCTCTGTCCCTGCTCACACTCTGTCTCTCTCTGTTTCTTAAAAATGAATAAACATTAAAAAAAATTGTTTTAATTAAAAAAAAAAGAGTCAGAGACTGCCATTCATCCATGAAAAAGAACGAAACCTTGCCATAGGTAACAACACAGACCTTGAGGGCATTATGCTCAGAGAAATAAGAGACAAGCAAATGTTATGTGATCTCACCTATATGTGGAATCTAAATAAGAAAAGAAATCCAAGCTTATAGATATGGAGAACAAATCAGTGGTTGCCAGAGGTCAGGGATAGAGGGTGGGTGAAATAATGAAGGGGGTCAAGAGGTACAAACTTCCAGTTGTAAGAGAAACAAATCACGGGGATGTATTGTGCAGCATGGTGACTACAGTCAACAATACTGTGTTGCATATTTAAAAGTTGCTGAGTGAGTAGATCTTAAAAGCTCTCATCACAAGAACAAATCTGTACCTGTGTGGTTGCCACAGGTTAGACTCATTGTGGTGATCATTTCACAATATAAGCCAATATTGAATCATTAGACTGTATACCTGAAACTAATATAAAGCCACATGTCAATTACATCTCTATTTTAAAAAGTCCTAAGATCGCAAAGCCCACAAAGGGTAGCATGACGATCTGAAACCAGAGAGACTCCCGTGTCTGTGCTCCTCATCGCTGTGTTACACTGTCTCCAAGAGGATGAACAAGAGGCTTAAGATGCCGATTCTGGGGAGTGGGGCCAGAGAAGCGTTCTCTGTGGAAGTGAGGTTTCAAGCCATGAGCGACTTAAGAAGAGTCTAGGCAGAGGAGACCAGGTGTGCAGCCACCCAGGGCGGGAGGCAGTGCTGTGTTCCAGCTGAGCATCTGACTTCGGCGCAGGTCATGATCTCGAGGTTCTCGAGTTTGAGCCCTGTGCCGGGCTCTGCTGGCAGTGTGGGGCCTGCTTCAGACCCTCTGTCTCCCTGTCTCTCTACCCCTCCGTCACTCGTTCTCTCTGTCTCTGTCTCTCTCAAAGATAAACATTTAAAAAAATAGAACTAAAAACCGTAAGAGAGAGAAAAGGACTAAAGTCCTTATCTTTCATAGCAGGGAATGCTATTCAAGTTCGTGAATCGAGAAACAGAGGTGGAAATACAATATTTAAAACTAAAGAGGAAAATGTCCCCGAATCAGGAAGAAAACCACCAGAAAAAGATGCTGAATTGGAGTTTGAATTCAGGGGGAGGGAGGAGTGAGGGCAACTGACTTTTCATGTGATCCCTTCTCTGAAACAGTCTGTATCTTACTTCCACCTGTGGATGTTACATAAGTCAACTGTAGTTTCCCGCCTTACTTAATGCATGCCCCTGTGGTAGCCGTCAGATGGCTCTCTCTCACTCTCTGAGGAGCTGCGACCTGCTAAAAACTTGCGGCCACCTTCAGACATGTGTCCAGAGTTTTCTAGTGTTGAGTTGTATCATCTCCTCATGGGTTTTGAGGCCAGATCCATGACTCGTCTTCTACGACGGTAAGAACTTCCCTGCCTCCACCGGATCCACATTCAGTTTTCCTTCTGTGGTCAGGAAGGGACAGGGAGGCTGCTGGGAGGGGCTGGAAGTCAGCCAAAGAGGAAAAGGGTGAATTGCCCAGCGCATTCGTATTGGCTGGGGGGCCTGCTCCTGTTCCATGGGTGTCAGGGACCAGCAGGGACTCACCCTGAAGGAGCAGGCAGGTTCCTAAACACCCCGTGTGTGTGTGTGTGTGTAGGTAGAGGATATGGGGCGACAGGGTGAAGTGTGGTGGGTGGGGGCATGAGTAGGAATTAGCATCCAGATGGCCTGAACCTAGCCCCCCCCCCCCCCCCCCCCCCCCCCCCCCGCCCCCACCGGCTCAGCTGGGCCTCTCCTGTCATTATCTTTTCTATGTCCAATCGGTAAAATGACTATTTTCCTCTCTTGCATGAGACAGTGAGATTGTACTGTTATTAGTTGCTTACATATCTGTATCTTAATCTTTTATCATTTGTCACCACCTCCTCAAAGGCAGGATGGAAGCCTCGTTCATCTTTATATCCCCTGCACTGAGCACATACCTAATAAATGTTGGTTGAATAAAGGAACAAATAAATGAAGAAATGAATGAAAGCCGAATTAATGAATAAAACGCTTATTATATCCCCCCTTTTAAAAAAAACATTAGCAAAACAGAGTATGGAGTATAACAAAAATTTCATTACTTTCTGGCGCATCCTTGATTATGTGAATCTGGTACATGTCTGCTCATGTGTGTATGTTACCCTAACTACTTGCCAGAGTTACATAATTGATCATGGGAAACAGTTTAAGCCTTTGGGATCCCTAAGAGGCAGACAGGCTTGGATACCTCCTGGAGAAACAGATCAAAGAGCAAAGTCAATGACATTGGAAATGTCAGATGACATGTATGGAAAGACAGGCTCCCTCAGGAGATGTTAGGAATTGGCTAGCCAGTCAGCTTAGAGTATGAGTCTAGACTAGGACGGAGTAGGAATGTGGCACCAGAATCATCAACTAGCTTTCCCTGGGTAATAACCCAGGAGGTGAACCAAATATCTGTTTTGTCAGGGGAACAAAGTGTGATGGAGTTAAGAAGGGGATACCTATAATGACACTACCTATTTAATCAGCATAAAAATAAGAGAAGCTGCAGTCAGGAGGCTGTGGTAAACCTTTATGCTTACATTCTTCTAGAGGTATCGTAAATTGGCTCAACCCCTTCTAGAAGTAAGTCATGGAGGCGGCCCTGTCATTATAAGCACAATTTCGTCTTGCCTAGCAATGGAAAAGAACTTTGTAAAGATTTTCAAAGATCTTGGATTAATCATTGAGAAAATTTAATCATGCCCTGGTGGGTATTCCAATGGACTAAAAGTAACCAGGAATCATTATGATGGGGATGGCATACCAAATTTCTGTAGCAGAAAGTTATGGATGGATCAAGTCATGATTCCGTCTGGATGGTTACAACTAAGACAATCTTGAGCCATTAATGTTTGTGAAGAAGGTTTCACTGTTCTTCCAGGTTTGGATCTTTCCTGAGGGAAGCTGGACTTTGGATTAATTCCTAGTTAGTAAATGTGATCAACTGATTGATCCGTTCACTGAACAATTTTTTCTGAGCTCCCCTTGTGTGAGTCATTTGTTTGAAGGAAGGGACCTTTCTGACCCATCTTTAGCCCATCTTTCTCAGAGTGTGGATTTGTGAGATATTTTCTGGTTGAATGAGGGGCTGAAAAAAAACTGGATTTGCCCATACTGCTTTCATGTCTGGGTTGTAGCTGACAGAATTTATTGCTTCTGTAAAGCTTCCTTAAGTTTAGGAGTTGTTCAGCTTGTGAGACTATAGTTTTCTTTTATATTCCTCTTGCAGTAAAGCTCTCTTTGTATTCTCATCACTATCAAAATCAGCCGCTGATGGTACCCTTACAAGTGAATCCTCTCTGTCTGGGTTGGCTCTCATTTTTTTACTGAGCTTCCCTACTCTGTGTTAAGATAAAGCTTTAGAGGGGCACCTGGGTGCCTCAGTCGATGGAAAGTCCGACTTCGGCTCAGGTCATGATCTCATGGTTTGTGAGTTTGAGCCCTGCGTTTGGCTCTGTGCTGATGGCTCAGAGTCTGAAGCCTGCTTCAGATTCTGTGTCTCCCTCTCTCTGCCCCTCCCCAACTCACACTCTGTCTCTCAAAAAATGAATAAACATTAACAAAAAGTTAAAAAAAAATAAAGCAATTAGTATTCCCACAGGCACACATGTGTATTGTGTGTGTGTGTGTGTGTGTGTGTGTGTGTGTGTGTGTGTGTGTAAAAGAGAGAGAGAGAGAATTCTGGTTTCAAATTAAAGTTTAGCTGTTGAACCTGGACTGTTTATATATTCCCCGTCTTCGGTCTAGTCTCAGAGAATCTAAGAAATAAACAAGTGAATCCTCTAGGTGGCCATGATTCTGAGACAGAAAACTGAAAAGAACTTGTATGTAATATCATTCGTGCATGGCTCGGATACAGTGTAGTGGTGGGGCTTTCACTTTGAACAGAAGAAAAATAACACGTCGGCCAGGTGAAAATAAACAGAAATTCACTAACCCAGCCCAGACACGGAAGGGGAGCAAAGGGTTTTGCTGGCTATACTGTACCTTGGTTGGCATAGGCTTCTTGAAGGTGATTTCAGCTTGCATCCAGACACCCCTTGGAGACTCCAGCACAGACCAAATTTTCTCTTGAACTACGTGGTTCTCTTCAAAGATGTAAACTGCTAGGGTGTCACTCATTTTTAAAAACCCATAGATGGCATAATAAAAACGTAGACAATACTGCAAATTTCCCGGCAGGGACGGACCGTAGAGCCTTCCAATGTAGCCAGGCTGAGATGTAAACTTTGTGTTGGCCAGCAAGTAATACCCTGTGAACCGGACAGAACATTCAGGAAATCAGCAATGAAAAACTTACATAATCTAGCCCAGATTATCAAATGGAAAAATCTGGCTGAAAGTAGTGGAATTTGCCAACAGAGACTATTTCCATAAGCTTAAAAAATTTTTTTTTCAATGTTTATTTTTTTTTGAGAGAGAGAAACAGAGAGTGTGAGTGGGCGAGGGGCAGAGAGAGAGGGAGACACAGAATCTGAAGCAGACTCCAGGCTCCGGACTCCAGTACCCGTCAGCACAGAGCCTGATGCAGGGCTCGAACCCATAAGCCGTGAGATCATGACTGGAGCCAAAATCGGCTGCTTAACCAACTGAGCCACCCAGGCACCCCTCCATAGGCTTTAAATGATAGAACATGTTTTGTTAAATCTGTGGCTTAAAAGTGACAGAATATATCCATGTGACTCTATTACAAATAACACTTCTCCAGTTCTAAGTAAACTTCATAAACCAGTGTAGATGTCCACCTGGATATGCTCAGGTTCCAGGCATTGGTGAGGATTTGTGCTTTTCATGAAGCAAAAGGGATGTAATCATCTTGGGGCTCCAGCTTCCTGGGGCAGCCAGGTGATACAGAGGGCACACTTAGCACCAGGTCCTAGTGAATGTAAGGCTCAGAGCAGATTTTTCCTTCTTATCTCTGCAGCGACCAGTGGAGATAGAGAGATTACAGGCTGGCCTGGCAGTCCTTGGAATTTGGATGCTTTCACATGAGTAGTGTTATGGACTGAATTCTGTTGTCTCCCAAATCTATGTTGTTGCAGCCTGCCATTCAACCAGAAAATATCTCTCAAGTACCTAATCTGTGCAATAAAAGGGTCCAAAGAAGAATAATTCTTTCTTCTAAATAACAAAAAGAAACATAAGGTCAAGAACCTCCCCTCTCACCTAGCTCCAGACCCCCAGGGTAAACTTAAAACAGATCCATGCATTCTAGAAAACCTGGGTAGAAATGAAAAAAAAAATACCCTACTTTTCTTTCTTTCCTTCTTTTGTTCCTCCCCCATCAATTTTCCCCCCCTTTTTTGATAGTCACACATCTGCCTTTATTGGGAGCAGCAGGTGGGACACCCCCAGCAAAAGTAAAAAAAAAATTAATTTACAAAACCAGGGATTCAGTAAAGCCTCCTGGTTGGAACCCCTGGGAACACATACGCAGACACCAACCCAGGGCAGCAGGAAGAGGACTCCAAAGCCCATGAAGGCCAAGCCACCACGGAGATGAAGAGCTCTTTGTAGGTATCTTGAGTGTATGTGGAGGAGTAACCTCATACTAAAGAACCAGGCCATGAAGAACATGCCAATGGCCAATGGCACGTCAGATGCGGGAAGACAGGCGGGTTCACTGGGCTGGTGTATCTGCTCATGGCCTCGCGCTCCATTTTGCCAGGCACAGGGTAAGCCACAGCTCTGCCACTGGAATAACGTGTCAGCTCTTTTGATCACCTCAGTGTTCATTTAGTTTAGTTTCACCCAATTATTTAATTCATGTGGCAAAAGGTTCTTGGGTTATTTCCTGTGCGTGGTGGTATGGACTGAGTCGTGTCCCCCTAAAATCCATTGACTGAAACCTAATCCCCAATGCAACTTTATTTGAAGATTGGGCCCTTAAGGAGGTAATTAAATGAGGTTATGAGGGTGAAGTCTTAATCATATAGAAATGGTGTCCTCCTGAGAGGAAGAGACACCAGAGACCTCTCTCTCTCTTTTTTTTAATGTTTATTTCTTTTTGAGAAACAGAGAGAGACAAAGTGCAAATGGGGGAGGGGCAGAGAGAGAGGGAGACACAGAATTGGAAGCAGGCTCCAGGCTCCGAGCTGTCAGCACAGATGTGGGGCTCGAACCCCCAGACTGCGAGATCACGACCTGAGCTGAAGTTGGAGGCTTAACCGACTGAGCCACGCAGGTGCCCGGAGACCTCTCTTTCTCTCTTCACGTATATATGTGGAGCAAAGGCCATGAGAGGACACAGTGAGAAGGCGCCATCTATCTACAAGGCAGGAAGTAAGGTCTCGCCAGAAACCAACCCTGACAACATCTGTGTCTAGGACCTTCCACCTCCAGAACTGTGAGGAAACACGGTTCTGCTGTTCAGGTCACACAGTCTGTGGTACTTCACTGGGCCACCGGGGCAGATTAGTAGGGGTGGCCATGCACAGCCACAGCAACATTCTTGAAACATGAATTTAATTCTACTCTTCTCTTCCCTAAAATCTTTGGTTTCTCATTTACTTTATAAAAAAAAAAAAAATCCCCAAATGCTTACTCTGGCCTGCCATGCCATGGTCTACTTCCTAACTTCATTTTCTTCCACTCTCCTGCCCTCAGTGCAGCTGTACTAACCTTCCAACTACTCGGGGTGTCCTGTTCTTCCCATGCTCAGGACTTCACAGATGCTGTTCCCTCTGCCTGGATTCCTCCCCCTCTCCTGGCTAATACCCTCTCTCCTCAGAAAAGCCTTCCCAGGATCTCCTACCAAAATTAGGCTCTCTCCCTTAATCTCTCTCAGAGCCCACTTTTCATTTCTTCCATAGCACGTACCTTATATGTTTATTTGTGTATATATCTGTCTAACATTTCTCTTGCCCGTTGAAATGACTGTTAGAAAAGAATACACGATGACAAGTATAAAATTGTGAGGTCCCCGTTTCAAAGCCCTTCCCGGGCCCTGTGCAAGTAAGGTGCTCTGAAATGTTTTCTTTTTTTTAATTTTTTTTTTTTAACGTTTATTTATTTTTGAGACAGAGAGAGACAGAGCATGAATGGGGGAGGGGCAGAGAGAGGGAGACACAGAATCTGAAACAGGCTCCAGGCTCTGAGCTGGCAGCACAGAGCCCGACGCGGGGCTCGAACTCACGGACTGTGAGATCATGACCTGAGCTGAAGTCGGATACTTAACCGACTGAGCCACCCAGGCGCCCCTGAAATGTTAAGTTTCATCAGTGTATTAACATACCCCAGTGCCTACTGTATAAACAGGCATTGAATAAATGAATTAGACACCAACCCTTGAAAATAAGCTCTTTGCACCCATCTCTACGGGAGTGGGCTTCACAGGGGATGCCATCAAAGTGATTAGATAGGTTCCTTACACAGGGGAGCTCAAACTGGTTTCCAATAGTTCCTTGTAGACCGAGCCATCAAGTGCCCCGCCCCTGACATTTTCCCAACAGCTTTTTTAGCTTCTCTTGCCCTACAATATCTGTTTGTTGAGTAAATTACACATAACAGGAAATTCACCATTTTAACCATTTTAAAACCTACAGTTCAGCGGCATTTAGTACATTCACGAATGCTGGGCAACCACCACCACTGCTTAATTCCAGTACATTTTCATCACCCAGAAGGAAACTCTATACCCATTAAACAGGAACTTCCCATCCCCCGTCCCCAGCCCCTGGACACCACTAATCTGCTTTCTGTCTCTATGAATCTGCCTATTCTGGATGTTTCATATAGTTGTAATCTAATAGCTTTTTTTTTTTTTTAAAAGGTTTTTAAAGGTACTTCTCCATAGGGGCGCCTGAGTGACTCAGTTCAGTTAAGCCTCTAACTTTTGATTTCAGCTCAGGTCATGATTTCTCAGTTTGTGGGACGGAGCCCTCCATCGGGCTCTGCGCCGACAGCAAGGAGACTGCTTGAGATTCTCTGTCTCTACTTGTCTCTGCCTTTACCCTGCTCCTGTTCCCACTCTCTCTCCCTTTCTTTTACTCAAAATAAATAAATACACTTAAAAAAAAAGACAAAAGTACTTCTCCACCTGAGGGGAAGAGCAAGATAATGTCCAAAGGTTTGACTATTTAAGCAACTGGCAAATCGAATTCTAAGTTTTATTTATTTATTTATTTTTTCAACGTTTTTATTTATTTTTGGGACAGAGAGAGACAGAGCATGAACAGGGGAGGGGCAGAGAGAGAGGGAGACACAGAATCGGAAACAGGCTCCAGGCTCTGAGCCATCAGCCCAGAGCCCGACGCGGGGCTCGAACTCACGGACCGCGAGATCGTGACCTGGCTGAAGTCTGACACTTAACCGACTGCGCCACCCAGGCACCCCTCGAATTCTAAGTTTTAAAAAGAGGCCAAACACGAGATTGCCCATCGCATTTGTTTTTTCACAGCTGCCCTTTTTTGTTTAAGTTGCCATCTTGATGGGTGTGGAGTAAGATTGGCAGCTGGAGCACTCCCACCCCCGGCGCCCGGTGGCCACAGACCCCCAATTTACCGATGCCTGATGTGTGGTCTCCGGCCCGATACATGTTTGGTTTTACTTTCACCCGGGTCCAGCCTGGACCTTCTTTGTCTTGATAAAAGTTGCAGAGATCTTCCTCGAAATCGCAGCTGGCTTCCATGGCACTGAAAGGAAGTTCTGAACAAAGGAGAACCAAAGTTAAAGAGCCAGACTCAAGGGTCTCAAGGGACTACATCAACGGGTTGACAAATACATACATACTCGTGCCAGGGGAGACGGAATACATAAAACACACAAAAATATTTTTACCCTAATGGCATGCTGGCAGGTTAGCATCAAGCTAACATCTCAGCATGGCAGGAAAATTGTTCTTTTCCTCCCTAAAGGGATGGAAAGAAGGAGCTCTGTTCACACTCTCTATAAAAAATAAAGAAGTACCACACTTCAAAAGACATTTCCTTCCATAATGTAAAGACTGGGAACAATTATTCACATAGTTCTTCACAATTCAAAATTCATTCATAGAAAATTAAAGAGAAAGAAAAAGATAAAGATTTTAAGGAATTCTTAATTTTTCTCTAAGACAGGTATTTTAGGAATTATATTTTCCAGAAATGATTTTCCTTTGTTGATCAATCTGTGTCACCAGCACAGCTGCTGTCTGTTGATAATTGATATTAGTCACAGGAGCTGATCTGCTTGAAGAAAATCATCGCTCAGTATAAATCACGAGGTTCAAAAAGTCACACCAATTTCATCACCCATACTGCTAGTATTTTGGCTTTTGCTGAATTCTGGTATCATTTATCCTGGTCTATAAATACCACCTCATTTCAGATTGCCTGGAGGGAATGAAACAAAAGATTTCTGCTGTTTTGTGAATAACTTGGTACAGCAACAAGTGATTGTAAATTTCACTGTTCAGATCATCTGAGTCCAGAAGGGATGTGACTGCCACAGTTTGGGACACATTCAACATAGCCAACTGTGATCCTGTTCTGCAGGCTGACATAATACTGGTCTAAACTTTTAGGGCCAGAGAAAGAGGGCACTGTTTTGAATAAATGGGAAATTACCTCTGGAGAAACATTTGAATTCTGGGAGCAGTGACCTAATGAAACAGGGAGCTGTTTATGGACAAACACTCACTATACTCTCAATTCCTGAATTCCCAAAGCAAGAGAGTTTAGCCCAGATTAAAGGGGATGAAAGACATATGACAACCAAATACTACAAGGGTGCCGAGATTCCATCTTGGTCCAGGAAAACACATAGCACATAAATATAAATGGGAGGTGCCTGGGTGGCTCAGTTGGTTAAGTGTCCAACTTTGGCTCAGGTCATGATCTCGTGGTTTGTGGGTTTGAGCCGTGCATTGGGCTTGCTGCTGTCAGCACAGAGCCTGCTTTGGATCCTCTGTCCCCCTCCCTCTCTGCCCCTCCCCCACTCATTCTCTCTCTCTCTCTCTCTCTCTCTCTCTCTCTCTCTCTCTCTGTCTCTCCCTCCCTCCCCTCAAAAATAAACAAACATCAAGAAAAAAAAGACAGCATTGGGACAAGTGGTGAAATTAGTATGTGGATCATAGGTTAGTTGATAATACTGTATCAGCGCCAAATTTCCTGAACTTGTTATTAATGTTTACTGATTTTTGAGAGAGAGAGACAGAGAGACAGAGAGAGAGAGACAGAGAACAAGCAGGGGAGGGGCAGAGAGTAATGGAGACAGAATCCCAAAGCAGGCTTTACACTTGGGGCTTGAACCCATGAACCATGAGACCATGACCTGAGCTGAAGTCAAGAGCCAGAGGCTTAACTGACTGAACCACCCAGGTGACCCCAAATTTCCCCAACTTTATAATTATCTGATAGCATGCTGGAAAATGTGCTGGGTTTTAGAAACTACACACTGACGTATTTAGGGTAAGGGGCATAATGTTTACAACTTACTCTTACATGGTCAATAAAGCAAATGTGGCAAAATGTTAATTTGTAGATCTGGGTGAAGAGTACATGAGAGTTCTTTATAGTATTCTTGAAAATTAAAAAAAATTTTTTTAATGTTTATTTTTGAGAGAGACAGAGTGTGAGTGGGGGAGGGGCAGAGAGAGAGAGGGAGACAGAATCCGAAGCAGGCTGTAGGCTCCGAGCTGTCAGCACAGATCCCCAAGTGGGGCTCGAACGCACAAACTGTGAGATCATGGCCTGAGCCAAAGTCGGACATGTAACTGAGCCACCCAGGCAACCCAATTCTTACAAATTTTATCTGAGTTTAAAATGCCATTTCAAATAAAAAGCTTTTTGTTTTTTTTTAATTTTTTTTTTCAACATTTATTTATTTTTGGGACAGAGAGAGACAGAGCATGAACGGGAGGGCAGAGAGAGAGGGAGACACAGAATTGGAAATAGGCTCCAGGCTCGAGCCATCAGCCCAGAACCCGACAAAGGCTTGAACTCACGGAGCGCAGATCGCGGATCTGGCTGAAGTCGACGCTTAACCGACCATCATGCCACCCAGGCTTCTAAATAAAGTTTTAAAAACACTAAATTAAAAAAGTCAGTGACCAAAACCACATTACAAACAAAAAAAGAAGATTAGGAATAAAATATTCCTGTATAATTGGATCCCAATGGTATCTCAGGAGACACACCCTGCCAAGTGTGCAAGGAAGGCATCCTGATGAGCCAGATAGGAGATCAGGAAATAAAGGGCATTCTCAATGCTCTGTGACAGGTGGGCCTGCCCACACATTGCTAGGCCTGGCCCCGTGAGCATCCGGGATTATCTTTAAGCCATGAAAATAAAGTCTTTGAAAAATGAGTATGATGCTCACACAGACAAGGATCCTCTGACACCAGCCCCCCCCCCCCATGCAGATTTGAGACAAGGGGAGACCCCATATTGGTTAGTTACCCCTCTGCCACCTGGTAATGAAAAAGTAGATGAAAAGGCACAATCTACAGATGCCCGTCTAGTTCAGAAAATGGTGTAGTGCTCCCAAAAGCCACACACAAAGAGAACAGCAGGTCAGTGAAATCACTCATCAGGAATATATCCCAAGGAATATCCCCCTGGGCAACCACAAGAGAATCATAACCCATTTATTAGGTGGGCATGAGAGGCAAGAGGTGGTATTAAAACTTAAAAGTAAGCAGGGGTCAGTTCACTCCATGGTGACACTGAGTCACGCAGAAAAGATTTTTCTGAGAATGTGATTATATTCCCTTGTTAAATACCTAGTCCTAGAAATGGATTTGTCTGGGGTCCTGAGAAGGTCTGATAAAAAGAAAATCTCAAAAGCATAACTGAAAGCCTAAATCTTTTTCACCCAGAATGTTTCTTCTGCTATGAGACAGTATCTAATTCCTGAAGACAGGGCCAGAGGGCCTGTTTGTGACCCCAAATGAGCTCACCAGAATCTGGGATGGATGGAAAGCCTTTGCTTAAGGCTTGTTTCAGAGCATATGGGCTGAGTGGCCATCACAGTTGAACATTAATG